CCCTCCACCAGCAAGCTACTTTTTATTAAATCCCATTTAACTATCTAATTTTTAGATAACTTGGCAAAATTTTTGTTTCCGTATTGAGGGTATTAACATTTATACATATGTCAAACTAATTTTAATTAGGTCGAGAAAAATGTATATTAATAGGCCTGTTCGAAAACATTTTAATATAATGATTTATCTATAGACAGAACATACTCATTTTGAATTTTATCCGGATATAATCGTTTAATTACGAATTAAGTGGTATTAAGTGATTTTCAGAAGTATACCATATATGGGAGCTAAGACAACCTATGGACCAATCCGGAAAAAAATTCCGTAGAATGATTTATATATACAAAATACACATTTATGTCGAATTTTATCCCGATAACTTTGATTGTCAAAACACACATTTATGTCGAATTTTATCCCGATAACTTTGATTGTGAATGTGCATTTGAGTAATTTTCGGAAATGGTCCTTATATGGGAGTTGAGACCAATTATCGACCGATAAGGAAAAATTACGTATAATGATTTATATGCCAAAAGTGGTCTCTATATATAGGAGCTATGACCTTACACAAAACATATTTGTGTCGAAATTTATTAAGATAACTTTATTTTACAATGAAATATGTGCGTTTAAGTGTTTACGGAAGTGGGACTTATATGGGAGCCATGACCAATAATGGACCGTTCCGGGAAAAAGTGGTAGAATGATTTATATGTACACAAAATATATTAAGTCGAATTTTATCCTTATAGTTTTAGAATTTAATGAAATATATGCGTTTAAGTGATATTCGGAAGTGGACTTTATAGGGAGTTATGACCAATTATGAGACTATCCGGAAAAAAATTTCGTAGAGTGACTCATATAAAGACAAAACATATTTGTGTCGAATTTTATCAAGATAGCTTTATTTGACAATGAAATATGTGCTTTTAAGTGATTTTCGGAAGTGGGGTTATATGGGAGCTATGACTAATAATAGACCAATACGTAAAAAAACATATTTGTGTCGAATTTTAACCCGATAGCTTTATAATTTAATGAAATATATGCGTTTAAGTGATTTTCGGAAGTGGACTTTATATGACAACAAAATCAAATTTTTTTCAAAATTACAAGGTCCGACCTATAAATTTTGATAGAGGAGACAACAAAACAAGACACGTGTATCGGCGTTTTGAAAGTTTACATCTGAATTTCATTTGAGGGGGTTATTGTTAATCGGCATAAGAAACCATGTGACCCTTACATTTAAGGTATAAAATTTGTTCAGTAAATTTATGTAAAATATTACGGAGAACATTTTTGTAGAACATGTTAACCCTCTAAGACCTCGAGGTATGGGTCTTTTTTGTCCTTCTTTTAGAAAAGAGCAAAAACACCATTAAAACAGGTATTTAAGGGGTTAAAATGTCCCGCAAAAATATTCTACGTGAAATTTTACTATAAGTCTCTGAATACACTAAAACGGAAAATTCAACCAGAAGGTAGAAATAAGACTCAACAAAAGAGAGCTTAGTGTTAATGTAGAATTTTATTTTAAAGTACCTTAAAATTTGCATGAAAAAATTGTTCAACTTTAAATAAAAATCACTATTATCTCTATAAATTTTGATAAAGGAGACAAAAAAAGACACATGTATCCGCGTTTTGAAAGTTTACAACTGAATGTAATTTGAGGGGTGGGGGGTTAAAGTTTCCCAACACTCTTTTTATTAATCGGCATAAGAAACCATGTGACCCTTACATTTTAGGTATAAAATGTGTTCATTAAATTTGTGTAAAATATTACGGAGAACATATTTGTTGAACATGTTAACCCTCTAACTCCTCAAGGTATGCTTTTTTTGCTCTACGTTTAGAAAAAGAGCAAAAACACGATTAAAACCGGCATTTTATGGGTTAAAATGTTCAGCAAAAATATTCTACGTGAAATTTTATTATAAGTGTCTGTCAATTTGCGGTGCACATATTGTGTGAGTGTTTTACTTCAAAAATAACAAAAAAAATAAAGATTTTTGTAAGATTTGTTTTGGCAAAAATGTCTAATTGTTTGGAAAAATTTGATTTGTTTTGCTACATCTGTGGAATATAAAGTTAATTTTTTGAATAGTAAAGTTGAAGACATTTATAAAATGTATTTCGAGCTAGAAGTTTTTCCGGATGAACTGTGGACTCCGAAGCATTGCTGTCGCATTTGTTATAATGACTTAATTTTGTGGTTCAAAGGTAATTGTTTTTTTTTTTTTGTTTTTAAACTATAGTTTTATTTTTGAACTCTCGCTGAAGGTCAGCGAAATTCAATGCAGTTTGGTATTCCTATGCGGTGGTTAGATCCAGGTGAACATAATGAATCTACGTGCTATGTGTGCCAAAATAGTCCTATATTAAAGTTAAATAGATATAGGAGAAAAAGTTTTGTATACAAAGGTGTAATGTCAGCCATGCTACCAGTTCCGCATTCTGACGAACTTCCAGTACCTGTGCTACAACTTCGAAGACCTAGTCATTGTGGCAATGGAACAAACGCTGAAACTGGAACTTTTTATTGCGCAGGTAGTGATTATATAAAAAATGAAGTTATCCCAAGACCAACATTAATGTCGCAAGAGCATTTAAATGCATTGACTCGGAGACTGAATCTGTCTAAAAACAAATCAGAAATTTTAGCTGCAGACTTAAAAAGTCTTAATCTACTTGAACCTGGGGTCAATGCTACCAGCTTTCGCAAGCACCAAGATAGCTTTCTGCCGTTCTTTTCAGTAAACGGTGATAACACGTTTGCTTATTGCAACGATATTGAAGGTATAATGAATGCAATGAATATTGAGTATAACAATGAGCACTGGCGTTTATTTATTGATTCATCTAAGAAGAGTCTAAAAGCTGTACTTTTGCATTACGATAATGCCAAAAATCCTATTCCAATTGCCTATGGAATGAACATTAAAGAAAGCTATGAATCAATAAAATTAATATTGGACTCCGTAAAATACGAAGACCATAAGTGGCGGATCTGTTGTGATTTAAATGTCGTTAGTTTCCTCTCAGGTATGCAGTCCGGATACGTTAAGTACGGATGCTTTTTATGCACTTGGGATAGCAGATGGAAGGGCGACCAATATTCCAAAAAACAATGGAATGTTTGAATATGTATGTGTTTTTCAGTCGTTGATATTGTTAAAAGTCTTAATATTGGTTTCATACCAACAAGTGTTTTTGTTGGTCCAGATATCAGAAAGCTAATGCAAAACGCTAACTTCGACGAAATGCTCTCACCAATTGAGCTCGAAGCGTGGAAAAGCATTAAGGACGTGATATACAATGTCTTAGACAAAAATCGATCTCCTACTGCTAGAATATACGTAGACAGCATGCTTAGGGCTTTTGAAAAATTAGGCGTTCATATGTTAACAAAAATTCATTTTTTAAATTCCCATATGGATTATTTTGAGAACCAGTTGTCAACGGAATCTGATGAGCATGGTGAACAATTTCATCAGACACGCGCACCCTTGAAGAACGCTTTAAAGGCAAAAGCTGAAATATGCTGGAGTTTATACGATAATGAAGAAGAATTGCCTAGTGAACAAATTTTATACCTTAAATGTAAGGGTCACATGGTTTCTTATGCCGATTAACAATAAGAATGTGCCAGAGTTGGAAAACTTTAACCCCCCCTCAAATGAAATTCAGATGTAAACTTGTATTTTTTTTTTGTTGTACAGTGTTATGGGCCTATCCGGAAAAAATTTCGTAGAGTGATTCATATTTTATTAAGATAGCTTTATTTGACAATGAAATATGAGCTTTTAAATGATTTTCGGAAGTGGGTCTTATATGGGAGCTATGATCAATAATGGACCGATCCGTAAAATATTTGGTAGAATGATTTGCATGTACACAAAACATATTTAACTCGAATTTTATCACAATAGCTTTATTCATCACTGAAATATATGCGTCTAGGTGATTTTCGGAAGTGGACCTTATATGGGAGCTATGCCCAATTATGGACCGACTGAGATCTACGTTGATAGTATGATTTCTGTTCTTATTTTATTTGCATGTACAAAATTTTGTATTGATATCGATATATTTGAGGGAGTTATTAACGATAAACTAATTTCCGGGAATATATACCATTGTATGTGGGCTATGGGAAATATTGGATCGATTGTGAAGATTTTGAACATAATTGATCACTGCCCTGAAAAAATAATGTGTGACAATTCATCGAAATATCTTTGGTAGTTTCTGAGAAAACTTCAAAAGAATTATGAAAAAAACTTATTTTTTTTCGAGATAGTCTGAAATTTTTACTCATAACTTTTTACGTTGTGAGCCGATTTTGCCGATTTTTTGGTAGTTTCTGAGAAAACTTCAAAAGAATTATGAAAAAACTTAAATTTTTTCGAGGTAGTCTGAAATTTTTACTCATAACTTTTTACGTTGTGAGCCGATTTAGCTGATTTTCAATACCAAACTGCTTAGGATAATAATAAATATTTTTGTGTATTTCAAAAATAATCTTGAATTGTAAAAAAAATAAAAAAATATATAAAAATTTGTATTCAGATCTAAATATTTTACACAAAGGAAATGACAAAGGAAACTCTTCAAAACAGTTGAAAAATATTAAATCGGTTAAGAAAATTTTGAGATATAATTTTTTTTGTCTGTCTATCAACAAAAAGCGTTTTTTTCCAATAGCTTCCGATTTTTAGGGTATATATATATAGATTCTAAAAATGGTAAAATGATCTACTCATTTAGGTCTATAAAAAGCATTATATCGCGTAACGAGTGTTTTTTAGTGTCACACAGTGTAGTTAATGTAATTTTATAATATGTATATGAATATCACAATTTTATTAATGGTTTTAACAATTTTATTAATGCACACAATAGGCATTAAGACCAAAATAAGAATTGTCTATGAATATAAACGTAATGAAATTGTTTTTTTTTTTTAATACATTCTTATATTTTAGTACGCTGCATGAAGCCAAGACAATGCCTTTGGATAAGGCTGTGGAAGAAGCTAAATTGGCAATATGTTATTTTTTTAATAATAAGTTTGATGATGCCCGCGCCTTAATGATGCCTCACGCGCACTGTAGTATGTACCACTCAATGGGTCGGGCAGTGTTTTCATTTTTGGAGGCGATACTTACATTTGAGCAACAGCACATTATTAAAGCAGGCGAAGAATTACGAAAATGTTTAGATGTCTGTCAGAGGCAACGGCGCAAAGTTACTATAACCCAGTCAATAGGGAAAAAATTTAAAAGAGTAAGTAATTAATATACACTTAGACCTCGTTTTGTGCGATTAATTCGTTTTTTAAAAATATATATACTAGTTCCATAGAAAATTCAATAAAGGGAACCAGTGTGCTTAGCTACCCTAGAAGCAATATAAATAAAAAACCTTAGTCGGCAAACATCCTGCTATCATTCTAACCTAACGGATCTTTATTGTTTTTTCGAATTGAGAGTTATATAATGTAAATTTTTAAAGAGTTTTATAAATAGAAATTTTAAGGGGAGATATGAATGATTTTCTAGATTTTAACTACCTAAATAATAATTCTCATATACTATATGAAGGCCCGAAATTAGTGGTATAGGTGTATTTATTCGGATTAGACTTAAAATTGTAGGGAAATTTAAACTCTTAAATTTATGTTCAAAAATAATGTAAAAATTTAGAGATTGGGAGGATCACTTTGCTTAAAATATTAATAATAAATGATTTTTAAAAAAAGGCTCAAAAGTTTCTAGATTTAGTCTACTTTAATTCTCATTTACACTCTCTGGAAGTTTATGAAGAAATTGTGGATGGTATAGCCATATTAGGGAACAAATAAAAAATATTTAAATTAACAAGAGATACATTTACATATCTTTTAAATATTTTTTTTTTGCAAAATATAAATATTATTAATATAAAAAAATGCTAGCATAATAGTTCCTAAACAACTTATTGCACATTCACATTCATATAAAAAATATAACAACGAATATACATATCGGGAGTATTGAAAATTATAAAATATCGCTTGTTACATATATCCTTTGTAAAAATCTTGTACGTTTTCAATAATAATAATTAATAATTCATTATGTTACAGAATCAAAAATAATTGGTCCTAGTTAATAAAAACATTAAAAAATTTGAGTCGTCTTAAGCCGAGTGTTTCGGCGGCGGCTCAATCAACTAAATATAGTTCGGCGGCGACTAAGCGCCGACTCGAAGCCGGTCGACTTCGCCCTCTGTATCGTACTGTTCATTCCACAACATTCGTTATAACAGATATCATAAAAATCGCATCAGTTGTTTTTGTACGCCTGAAAGAAAATTTGGAATAATAATTGTTTTACAAAAAGTTCTCGTAAAAAGGGGCGTGGCTTCCGATTCAGATCTTATTTAGTTTATGGTTCCTTCTAAGGTCAGACTTATTAGTATACCAAATTTCATGTAAATCGGTCCAGTAGTTTTCTGTAAGAAGAATCGTAACAACCAGTATAATTATAGGATAGGATATACATATAACTAAGTTTTTTGCCTTCCTATTTTTAAGAGAATTTAGCGTTTTTGTTCATAAATAAAATTCGATAAAACAGATAACATTAAACAGGTAAATTTATATTTTCATATTAAAAATGGAGATTGTGTAAAATGAGAAAACCAAGAAAAAATATTAAAATACAAATTTCGGGCTTAGAATAGTTTTCTGAGTCGATTAAGCAATGTCCGTCCGTCCGTCTGGCTGGCTGGCTGTCCATGTAAACCTTGTGCGCAAGGTACAGATAATTGGATGAAATTTGGCACGCACGTTTTATTTGACGAAGCCTATTGACAGTGCATTTAGTGCTTTTTGTAATATTTTAAATCTTATTTTGTGATTTTCAGGAATTAATTAAGTAAATTAATCTTTAACATTTTCTCTATAATGTTAAGAAAACTGATAATTTTTGATCACTTTATGTGTACAACTTTTTGTTGGAACCGTTTAATAGTCCATACTCAGGGTCTAAATTTTACTTAAAAAACTGTTTTAAATTTTAGAAACCTAACATAACTCTTTGACGTAAATGGGGCACTGTTATTCCAAAGTTTGTTTTTGCATTTATTTAAATTAACTCGTTATTTTTTAAAACCTTTTTGGTGTTCTGCAAATCGAATTTTTATTTGAACGCAAAATTCAGAAAAATAAACATATTTAAATGAAAAAGAGTTTAAAATTCCCATAGCATTTATATTTAGTTACAATTGTATTAAAAAAACGCAAAAAATAATTATTTAATTTATTAGAATAAAATTAAATTCGATTTACTTTCGACTAGATTTGTGTACTCGGTTTTAAAACGAGAAAAATTATGAGAACTCGTTTTTAAACGAGAAATTTGCTCGGATTCGGTTTACAGAACAGACAGGAATATGTATTTCTTTGTATTTTTAAACATCAGGGCAGATGACTGGTTTGAAGTGGTTTTGTTTAGAGAAATATAGATTTTGAAAAAAAATATTTCATAAGTTTTGTACAATTTTACAATTTGGGTGTGGATGCATCGGTAGGCGGAAAATCGGTTATCGGAATATTTTTTTGAAAAAAAATTTAATAATTTGAATAACATAGAACGCAAAACCATTGGAAATCAAAGGAAGCACATAAAAGTGTGTGCCGTTCATTTGGATATTTTGAAGTTTTTTTCTTTTCAGTTCTTTTATATTTGACATAATAAGGAAGAAAATTAACAGCTCTCCATACTATTCTACCTGTTAACGGTTGTATCATGAGGGATTTGAAAACTTAAACTTTAGTATGAAGCATGTTTTGTAGCTCTCAGTTCAAAAAAAAATTTTGGAGTATGCCAGTCTTGTAGTAAATGAGCAATATGATGTGCAATTTTTTATTAAAATTTATTTTATTTTACTAAAAAAAACGTTAGTGCTTTTTTACCCCTTTTTAATTTTTTCGCGCGCGTTTTGCTTGACCAATGTTGGCAACACTGCTTATAAACACAAATATCGCGATGAAATTCACCACAATAAAATATTATGTAAATATAAATATATTCGCAAAATTTTATCGGGCTTGGTCCATATTTGCCCCTAGCCCCCATATAAAGCCTCTTTCAGAAAATTAGTTTTTCATCCATAAATTGCTTAAATGTATCGGAACAAGGGAATATTGAAGATAAATGTTTTATTATGAAAAATAAATCACATTTAATATTCATAACTGGTGTAGGGTATCATATGGTCAGCCACGCCCGACTATACTTTCTTACTTTTTTTTTTAATTACTTTTTGGAATTTATTGTTAAAAGGACACGTGTTAAGTATTTTTCAATTTGCAAAAATCATATACTCATTGTGTGAAACTGTGGAGTTATTTGCGTTAAAAATTTTTAAAGGAAAATAATCAGCCTATCTTCTTCTTCTATCTTCTATATATATGTATATATATATAAATCAAGGTATGTTTGTTTATTTGTTTGTACCTTATAGGAGGCTAAACCACTGAAGCGATTTTGTTGAAATTTTCAGTATGGAAGGAACTATAAGCTACTTTTTATTTTGAAATTGCAAGTGGGAGGGATGCCACGCCCACTTCTTCAAAAGTCGAATATCTCGGAATATGGTACAACTAGAGTCCTCAAATTTTTATGGACAATTTTGACATCCATATGATTATTTTCTGGAAAAATTATAGGACTAGCAATAGGGGGCGTGGCACCCCTATCTATAGATATAAAAATGAATGTGTGTTTGTATGTTTGTTTGTTGGTTTGGACTTTAGAGACAGCTAAACGGCTGGATGGATTTTTCTGAAATTTTCACAGTGTCTTCCTGTATGTCTGGAAGGAACTATAGGCTACTTTTTACTTCAAAATTTCAAGTGGGCGACGTGCCACGCTCACATTCAAAATAAGTATTAAAAGTCGCATATCTCAGAAACTGCAAGAGTTGGTGTCCTCAAATTTTGTATGGACAACTTTGATATCCATAAGAATATTTTTGGATAAAATGAGCGGAATGGCGATAGTGGGCGTGCCACCTTCCATATGAAGAAAATCTTAAATCAGTATATCCGAGAAAATATAACAGATAGTGTCCTCAAATTTTGTCGGAACCACTATAGTGTTAATATTATTATTTAAGGAAAAAGGACTAGCAGTAGGGGCGTGGCACCTCCCATATGAATTAAATACAAAAAATCGCTTATCTGGGAAACTACTAGAGTTAGAATCTTCCAATTTTTCATGAAGAACTTTAACATGCATGTAAACATTTTTGTAATAAATTGGCGGACTACCAATGGGGGGACATTGCTCCTCCTATATGAATAAAATATGCAAAAATGCATTTATTTGGGAAACTACCCAGCAAAATCTTTACCTACCCGGTAAGTAGGCAAGTAATATTGGAGCAAAGTGTAAGTACTTTATTTTTGGGTGAATAACTACTTATATTTGTTTGACGATGATCCAAAAATAACTGGTTACAAATGTGCTTACCCGACTATTCCGGATTTAAAACCGGCTTTACAGTTATTTTCTGTGTTTATTAGTCTATTCTATTAGCCAATGCTCCATTAACAAGTTGTTTTATCGTGCTATTTGGAATAGTTTTTACACAAAGGTGCAAATCAATATTTCTTCAAAAATATTCTAATATCGACTAGGTTTAAAACTCTTAACTAATTCCTTATTAGACTATTCCGGATTTAAAACCGGCTTTACAGTTATTTTCTGTGTTTATTAGTCTATTCTATTAGCCAATGCTCCATTAACAAGTTGTTTTATCGTGCTATTTGGAATAGTTTTTACACAAAGGTGCAAATCAATATTTCTTCAAAAATATTCTAATATCGACTAGGTTTAAAACTTCTATCCAAAAAAATGAAATAATTTTATTAATAAAGACCAATCATTACCAAGTTATGTGTGAAATAACTACATTACCTACAATACTCATAACCAAAATTTTAAAATATTTTATTCGGTAATAGAGCTAGCTTCTTTAAATTTTGCACGAAGAACTTTAATATTCATATGAATATGTTGGAAAAAAAGGGGTGGACCTTTATAAGGGGGGCTTGGAACGCCCCATATGAATTAAATAGATAATTTCGTATATCTGAGAAACTATTCGGGCTAAAATCCTTAAATTTTGCAAAAACAACTATGACATCCATATGAACATTTTGGTAATAATTTGGCGTTGTCGATTGTCTGGGAAACTAATAGACCTAAAATCTTCAAATTTTGCACGAAGAAATT